AGTTTAATATATTTAATTATGATGAATAGTTAGAAAAGTACAACATGGCAAGTAACTATTTTACTTTGTGTATAAAATACAAATGTAATTAAGCTCGTATGTCAAAATGTCAGAACGTACTCGGCTTTACCTCGCTGTATAAGTGAAGTCTTGTTCAGATACACGTATGCAACGTGTATCTGACTACGGGGATCGTGCAAATGTCATCTCACAGGTAAGATAAGTGCACCTTATGAACTATTTATTATATCTCCAAATGGAAATATGAACTTGCAGAAATATTATATATGCAAAGTGAATGAAGTTTCATCTTCTTTAAGTTGAAATTCTTTTATTCTATTGTTCAATTTACTTCTACCGTGCCTTTATTTGCAAAAGTCTGAACTAAATAGTAGATAAGTATTTATTTCTGCACTACTGAATTCCAAGTGAAGCCTACAATCAGACAACGCTTCGCAAACTCACTCCTAAGAAGCTCGTAAACAGGGAGGAGGTAACGTCAGTGCCTTCCGAACCTTCATTAGGTGCATTGTATCTATTGTATAATGCAACTTATATTCCTAGTAGCAGAGTCATCCAATTAGCCTAATACTATTCTGAATAATGAACCTAACTACCTATTTTGCACAACTTGTGTTGTTGCACTTAAAATTTATGAGTTAATGTGGCCAGATAGTAACTATATATAATATATAAAAGTTAAACAAACACTTACTGGTGGCATTTCATTTACAGTTATAAATATTCGTCAACCTTACAAAAAGTTATTTTCGTTTTACTCGTTTATAATTTAAATCGTAATAAAACGTCTACTACTACTAACTACTTCTAGCTATTAATCAGAAAAGAATAATCAGTCAGACACATATCATATGCGTATCAAAAATATGATGTACCTATATATAGAAAAAAATAATTGTTGTATTGGTTAAAAAATAATATTTATGTTGTTTTATATGTGATATATGTATATTCAGTCTGTTAAGCCATATAATTGTGACGTGTTTGCTTTTGAACAATAATTAATTACACGAAACCCAACAATGTTCGTGTAAAATGGTAGATTAAACAGATATTGCCTACAAAATCGTATACTTTTAATTAAATTATTGTGAAATATTGGACTTATCACTAAGTCAACATGTTGCAATTAAATAATAACAACACAAATAGAACAAACATTTCATATTACAGCTACTAGGTACCTGTGTGTGAATATAGCGCCCTCTAGTCTCGTTATACCCGAAAGCCTTTAACATGTTCAACCTGACGACACCTCTACGTATCCTCTAAAATACGAAGCAAGCGAAAAACATTTTTTAATTGAGGTTGGGATTCAATTTCGTGATAGTCGGCCCTCAAACCACAGGTTAAGGTTAAATAATAATCTATGTAGCGGTAAACATAAAATGTACGTGAATTTAAAATAACTGTAATTTTGTTTCTAAAAGATTCAACAATCTCTAAAAAAAAAACGTTTTAATTAATTCAACTACAATTCTTCACACTACATGACGTCTATAAAAAATTAAAAGTAACAAGAGATTATAACGATAGGCTAATTCTGTTTTCTATATGTCTATGTAAAATAAATATTATCATTTCAAGACAGCAAGGACTACTCGGGCTGTCCTCCTGAAGGAAAGTGTTAATCGTAACTTAACAGAACTAGAACTCGGCTTGCAAGAAGAGCAACTTAAGAACAAAAATACAGATGCTTAAGACAAGTACTCACGACGACATTGTTCAAAGTTTTGATTTATGTTATTTTACTTAATAGTAATTATATATAATAAAATAGTAATTTTAATAAATTAATGAAAAGTTCTTAATACTTTCAATAATAATTTTTAATTATTTCTTAATTCGGAGAAGTTAATATGTTGTATAAACTTTAAAACTGGTCTATGTATATGACGATAGACTTGTTTGTTAGTCTATGATTTGTTATTCCAGTTTGCATTCCATATAAAAACAAGCAACAAAAGCTAAACTGTTTAACACACATGGTCGACTCTATTAACTCACTATTGTTTTCTACTAACTAGGCCACTGTACACCTAAGAGATATAGGACGTATTCCCTGCCGCTGAAAAACCTATAGTTTTGTTTTGAGATCAGCAACTTTATTGCTGTTTTAATAATGGAAACAAATGCAATTAATTAAAATAATTTAATAATCTAAAATCTTCTATGGTACTACCACAGATATGGTACTACTAAAATTAGATTTAGACAGCCTCGGTGGTCTAGTGGTTTAGCACACTGCTTTACTATCCGATGGTCGTGGGTTTGATTCCTCGCACGGTAAAAACATTTGTATTCATGAGTATGATTGTTTGTATCGGTCTGGGTGTTTTCTATGTATAATATGTATTTATTCATTAAAAAAAATGTATCCATCTATTTATATCAGTTATATCCCATAACACAAGCTCTACTTAGCTAGGGACTAGATGGCGCTGTGTGAATTGATAGTAAAGTATACATGACTTCTAGTAGTTATGTGTCGTAATTTTTCATTGTTCTATCTGGTAGTTGAACAAACTGTTGATTCCAACCGAAAATAACATTGCTGTATCGCCAGTCAGCTCCAAACCAACTTATAGTAAACGTCGGTAAAATATATTTACTATAAAATTATATCTAATTAAATGGGTATATTAAAAACACTGAAAATACATACAACATTATTTAAGATAAAAAAAATTACTCTGTAATGAGTTACTTAGATATTAGTCCCTCGTTGCTATAAATTTCATAATTTTACAGTTCAGCCCCGCAAACGGTTATTGTTTCCATGAAATTAATGTCACTAATTAGGCAAACCGTAATTGTATGCTTATGCTCAGTTTGTGTTCGTGGGAGAATATTTGCCAAACTCTCGTTATCGCCCACGATGCGTGCTGGAAAGTGATCTTACTAAATTATCCACAAACTTGATTATTATTATACAGAAGCTTATGTAAATAAGTATTTCTACTTCAAAATATTTTATATTTATGAGATTCTGAGGCTTTATAAGATAATACGGGCTTCATTTATTAATACTTAAATACTTTTTTGCTTTATCGCAGCTTGCTCTTATCCGTGGAAATATTTATATACATTTAATAGTCTTGAGTCTTGTTGCTTAGCGGCTTCCAACTTTGACTCATTGAAATACTCAATTATTATGACTATATTCGATACAGATAGTGATGAGTCCGAAAATCAGAGATAGTATTAGTAATATGAATAAAACTATGAAAGTATACATCGAGATGTATGTATGTTTTTTTTAATGTTCCTATTTAAAATTAACAGTATAATTCACTTTAAACTTTAAATATCAATATACAAAAAATATCTAAGAGGATTTTTCTTTGTAGCGATGAACCATGTCATGTCACCATTCCAATTTGTACCCTATATTTTTAATAAGACCACGAGAACACAGCACTACACACCAGTGCAAGGTAATGATAACTTTAATTAAACAGCCGCCTGGATAGTCTAAAATTGGAGACATCCATGCCATATTGTAGTTGTATTGTTTTTCTGCGTTCACGACTGGTTACGGTTCGTTAAATACGATTCCTAGAAGAATTTGTATCTGAACTCAATATCTATGATTCCCAAGTGGCTGCGAAGACGTTACTCTATATGTACTGAGTGTATATCGAATGAAACTTCAGGATATAGGTCGCGTGCCAAAGATGCCTTTGTTCCGTCTAGCACAGTAAATATTCTACATTCTTGTTCTCTTTTACAACTGTGTATCGAATTTAAATATGTTAAAAGATATTTTGTTTTAAAAAAGTATTGACTAATCCTAAAAAATTTAACGTGCTTACGTAAATGAACACACACAGTCTGTTATGAAATACTATCTATCAATCTATAAAGAAATATCAATATACTTGTATATCTTCCAAGAATAACTTTAGATTACATATAGGTATATAGTTATAATGAGTAAGTAAGTAAGTAAGTAAGAATACATGACACCACTCCTTTTAGGTTACCACTATCCTTACTATACTTTTTTGTAAACAGATTACTTAGTACAGGACAAAGATCATAGCATCATTTTAAGAAACAGATAATTCGAAATGTAACATTATTAGTCCCGCTTCGCCAGCATACTATTACACTAACATGAATATGATTATCATAAAAAAGAAATTAAAACAATTCTAATGAAATCAAATAGATAAAGCCAATCAAATGTCCCAAAGGGCAAATAATAATTAATGTGTAAATGATTTATCCTTCCGAAAGACCAGAAACGTTCAAAACTTCGAGTCGTACATTTTGTCGCCTATAAAGTGTTTTATTACAGCCACAGGTGTGACGTGAAAAGCCGCAATTGTGGGTGATCGTAAACAGGCTTTTATGGGACGTATCCGAGACTTGAGAGGACTCGAACAATATTTCAATGTCGACTAATACAGTGTTCCTGCAATCTGACTATCAACCAATCGACTGACCAGTCTGTCCTGTGCAGTTAGGACCGTTCGTTTCATGATTTCCAAACAGATCGTTCTTTTTTACGTATTGGTTAGTGAGATTTGTGTCAGTGGGGCGCAGGACACACATGGTTCATATTACTAGTTCTCATTAGCGATTGTCGTGTGTATACAATGTTGCTCCATGCATGTAATGCTGTTTGTAATAATACATTTTACGGTATTTTCATTTAATGTTACACACGGACACACCCATTTTTGTCGCTGAAAAATCTCAACTTACTTAATATTTCAAGTATTTGTATTAATATTTTTCCATCCAGTTCAGTCTATAGATGATTGATTTATTAGTATTATTTACTTATTTGGGTGTCTGTGTCTAACTTTATAATTTCTTAGAAATCAGCATATATTTTTTGTATAAACCCTTTATGACAAAAGTGTAAATATGAGAGTATATATCGCACATTCTCCAAACTGATAGTACATTCTTCCTAGTCATTTCAATGAATATTACAATTACTAATTTTAGAATACTTTTATTTTCAGGTATCTGGAATGATCCATATTAACAAAGAACACTACCGGCCACCAGATCGGATGTCCAGGTACATATTAGATTTGCCATAGAATGATTAGTTGAAGTAAATATTTTTCGTGGTTCTGTACGCATGTGGACCTGTCATTTTATTCCCACGGTATATTCATAATGTCCAGGTTGGTTTATCATCTGCTTTTGTACCTAGTTACTCGTAATTTAATTAAGATTTTTTATGATCAGTACAACCTATTTTTAATTATGTCGTAAATTACTGATAGAATAATATAGAACGATAAATTTCCAAATTGTGAAACAGTTGCAAAAAAACTGTTGTTATCCCAAATATATGAACATAACACTTAATCTTGTAGATTACTGGCAAGACAGCTTGATATAAGGTTGCATTTAGATTTTCCTTCTCTTTTAGATTGTGCTTTTCATCTATAGTGTCTTTTTATAGTATTATTTTAGTATACTGTTTTAGATAATATTGCATAGGTTAGCAATAGGAAAAGTTCTTTGCCTACACTGGTATGTGTATGTTTTTGCTTATATTCTGAAATGTGTATGTTAATATATCTATGTCCTTGTACATTTTTTATGTTATTCAAGTATTATTAATAAACAGGACTAGAAAACAATACCAATCCTTTGAAGGTTAGAAAAGTTAAAACACACATATCGAAAATTATATCCATTGTATTCTATTGAAAGTCATGACTGTATACAAAATTAATATAACAGCTATCTACCATACATTCGTTCAGTCATGGGAAAGTAAACAGTTTCAGGTAATATACGTTATATTAATTTATTCCGAAAATCGCTGTCTGACATCAATACAAATGAATACCGGTTCACATGCCTATCAGTCCTTATCATATCGTAACATCAAATAGTCTGCTGATACGCACCGGTAGCTATGGCAACGAGTAGGTAAAAGCTCTCCCTCTCTCTGTTTTCCTGGTATCATAGGATTGAATTTAAAAAGATAATGTAAACGTAGACAGTTGCAAGTATTGTGGAAAACCTATATTTATTTATAGGTACATTAATTGTGTGTTATCTAATAGAAAAATCGTAGAACTTTGGCATGAAGACATATTAATTAGTTTCGTTTGTTATGTTTATATATTAAAAATATTGTCAAAATCTGTCAATAGCAATACTAAGTGTTGTATTATATATTAGCAACCCACCTCAAGCCTTGTAGGAATCTCTATTTTTTTTTAATAAAAATAGCTGTATTAAATTTTTACTTTAATTTAATACAGCTGACATTACCCACTGAAATGTAACTTTCTTAGAAAGATTGTTTAAAACCGGTCTAGTATTTACTAAGCCATGCGCTTTATTACAAACATAATGAAATCTTTCCTATTTGTTATACATATTAGTTTAATGAGTAGTATGAGTGATGAACAAACACTGGTAATGACTTAACATGCAAGTATGTTAATAACTGTACTCTAAATCAACCCTACAGCAATAATCTTTAAATAGACCTAAATCAAGGAATATGGCGCAATACTGAACAGACACAGCAAAATACGAATGCTAAGTAATGGAAACATCGCGTGTCTCTCCGAATTATCACCCATTTTTTACACGGTATTACATACTAAAATGAAAGCTTTCGACTAATATCGCTTGTAATCCACTTAAAACGCCATATTTCCTCTATGTATATAAATATACACCGACGACATGCGAGCTTCATGAATGAAATTATTTTAGGCTACAAGGAAGTCCGTTGCATGAATCTAATTCTAGACATCAATGTTGGTATATTTTAGGGATGTCAAAAAATAATGGATTGTGGAAAAACACGATTAACAAATAAACTTTATTTTCTCCAAACGATTTTGACATCATCATTCGATTTTTTCATCAATGTGGTCCTGACAAAAAAAAAATAAAAGTATATGTATTGATTATGGAAAAATCTATTTGTGTTATATAGCAATACCGTTTATTATACATACAAAACTATGACGATAAATTAATCATATATTTTATCATACAGAATGGAGCACATATCTAGTTTTCGTTTTATATTTTGGTAAACAGCTTTTATATTATAATATGTATAGTTAGTTGTTGGGCTTTTTTTAATGAATTATACAATAACAGTATAAACTAAAGCATTGACATATCAACATTAGTCATTGGACCACAACTTTTCAATTCACTGTAGGTAGTATTTAATTTTATCTTTTTCAGATAAACACTTCAGTCTGACAGTCTCCAAGAGAAATGTTCTATTCTCTTACTATTTCAATGAGATTTCCTTCAAAGACGTGTCTCATAAATTTCAAACGCGACTCATTGTCTACCTATCAGCGTGGATGTCGCAATTTAAATGCAGCATCCCTCTTCCACACTGGAATATTCTCAACTGGTCATCTATCAAGCTCGCTCGTAAATAGATCGCTGATTAAATTGTTAAATTACCCTTTTATCCAGAGTAAAATGTCGAAAACATTCGCACAATGATTTAATACCTTCTTTAATAAATATATAGACTCCTCTACTTTGGCGTGATATATATATTAACAACTCCAAATATAAAGCGTTCATTTGTACTCTAAATAAATGACTATGTAGTGATTATTAAGTAACAATAAATAGGTACTTTGTAGGTGACCTTATAACAAAATACTAGAATATGTTTATTATATGCTATTTATAATATAGTAACTTCCTATTCCACATCACTCCATTAACTGGTTTACGTATTAAAATCAATTAAAGATTTATTCTATATTACTAAGTTTATAATTTGGCTTTCTGTAAGTAAACACTATCTATAATGTATAGTTTCATCATGTGTATTTGCTTGTTAATATGGAGTACACTAATAAAAATATTGCCGCAATTCACTTATGCCACTCAATATGTTACTTTAGATTATTATTATTACAAGTATTTACTTACATTAACTGTGCCATAGTAGAACTGTTAATAATAGATTTTATAAAAAGAATTCTCACATTTATTAATATTTCTAATATACCAACCAATTATATTTATGCAAGGAAAAATATGCGGAAAAACTGGCTGACGTAATTCATGTATCATCCATCCATCTAATAATAAATAAGGATGGCCCTAAACCGTATTTAGTGAACGTAAAGATGCGGAAAAGGCTCGTGAGCGCCTCGACGTTAATGGATGGTGTGTTTTTTGCAGGTCGTGGGCGTGAAATGGCACGCGCGGGCATGCTGCACAGGGGTGGTGGAAAAAATGGAGCCGAGTGAGTATTTGACCTTAACTAGCTATGTACCACTTGCAGCTGCCACTCGCTCTGCGAGCATTAATTAATGTACGTTGCTGCTTTATAATCTGTACATTTTTGTACGATTTCAAATGGCAAACAAACTAACGATCCATCTGAGTATCCATAAAAATGGATGATGATGGAACAGTGGTACCACCTGTACGAATGGTATACGTTGATGGGATATCAGTGTTCATAGAATCAAAGGAACAATATGAAATCCGATTAGTTAACCTATTGTAGCGATTTATATAAGTGGGACAATTTCCAGAGAAGATCTCGTGGAGGCCGACATACTTCTCTTCGCTAAGAATGTTAAATATATTTTAAGATTTCTTACAAAACTGGCAATCGTTTTCCTTTTACTGGGTCAAGAAAAAAAACTGCCCCCTAACAGCCTTATCGGGTAATATGGAAGAAAACTATCTACGAAAAATCTTTAATGTCATATAGAAAGAGTCATGAGAAAATATGTGTAAGACATTCACCAAAATTGTCAGCCTATATTCGTCCGACTTTCGCCGTTAGACATGATTTAGCACTTAACGTAATTGACATAGAACATGCATAAATATAGTAAGAGGTTAAAGTTACTCATACAGCATCTTCAGATATTTTCAATTTAGCTTGCGACGTCATAAAAGTATAAGTACATAAAATTAAACACATATAAAAAATAAGTTATACAAAAAAAATATTTAAGTGTAAATTGTGACGCAATAGAAGCTCTATTACCCTATTACCAAGTAACTTAGGGTGATGCCGTACACAAGGGCGGGCGGTAGGCGGGCGGGCGTCAGGTGCTACCCTGATAGAGCAATTACTTATTTTAATATTTTTAATGCTCTATAGGTAGGCTCGTTCACGGCCCATATAAATTTGCTATAATAATTTATATCTGCATAAAATTTATTTTTAGATTCTTTTTGAGTTCTATCGCGAATTATTTATAAAGCAAAATAATTAAACTTTAGAAAGTGTTCATAAATAAATATTAATTATAATTTTTAGAATATGGAAGAATATATAGTATATAGTAAGTAGTAGTATAGACAATTTAAATTAAGATTGATTTATTACGGGTCAATGACTCCAACAGTTACAAATTACTTTTCCATTGTAATATATGTGTGATAGAAAGAAAGAATAAATATTTATTCAGTGCTTTTACAGTAGAAACAAATATATATCATAGGATTCCTACAAACTGTAAGACATATTATGCTACTATAATGTAAAAAAGAAGTAGTGAGAATACAGGTGCCTTTATGTATTGTTTGCCGTGTACGCATTGTTAAAATTAATTAATAATTTTGATGACAATTGCATTATTCATGTTGATAGAAACTTTGTTAAACCTTTATTAATTATTTAATAACTAAAATACAAACAACAGACGTTTACGAGTCCGTCGCCGGGACGACTACAGTACGAAATTGTATTTGAATTTCGTAATTGTGTTATGCAAACATCTTCCAACCCTAAAATACAGCCTAACTGAAATTTGTGACATTTTCATAGCTATTCTATATTAGTAACTATCTTAGAATGGGACCGCGCTCTGCTGAGTAACTTTACATCTAGTTACGCTGAAACTTTATTATTGTTATAAGTACTCGTGCCGGTGGTGTCCAGTGGACCCCCGACTCCCGACCGTTAACCCCCGCCGTCCACGGCATTTCTCACCTCAACTCGCACTCAACCGCCTAGACTAACTTTAAATTGTTAAATGCAACTTCTCATTCCATTCCAGTGAACTTTATTTGTTCATTAGATACTTAGGTAGTACAATTTTAGATGTGGTTTATTCAGTACTTAAAATACGCAAATGATTAAATATAAAACCACGTTGTTATTATTTTGGAAAATCTTAAATTAAAACTCTAAATTCTTAAGTTAAAACATTACAAAATTAATAATACCTTTAGCACTGGGGAGTACGAATTATTTGGATATAAATGAAAATGGTATTATTGCGATAGGCGTCTTGGGGCACCACCTCACGGAACGAACAGCCGCCCTAACTCTCCGCAGGGAACGCGATATTTGATTTCATCTCAACCGGTGATCCGTCACGCACAAGTACTCCTTTACATGCCTTATAACAACATGCAACTATGTTAATAATTACGTTATATTTGAGTGCCGCACCAACCTTGCTCTTATGTAACTATAATGTTTAGACTAATATTTACCAGCCACTTGTTTACTCTACATTTGCGTATCGCACTTACTTAATAATATCTAATACTTGACACTTGTAGACACTAAATGTAGGTAGGAGATGCTTTAGGATATTTACATCAGTCGTACATCATTACATGATTTTATACTAGAATGATAGCTCGTAGACAATTCAAGCAATTGTACTTTTCGAACTGCGAAAATTTCAAGGTGGTTTGTATTGTACATCAAATGTTGTAAGGTTAAAGAAAGTAATGTCAAAATAATGTATAAGTATTTAATAAAAATAGTGTTTTTAATTTTCACCTAATAGCATGAAGCGAACCATGGATTCCAAGTGACCTCTATATGATACTCCTCATGCGGTGCTACGAAGAAGTAATTATTTCATATTTGTTTTCTGTTCAACAGCTCACGTATTTATATCTGAATGCTATTTATAGTTTTCAAATCAGCGCTGTGGTATATGTATACTGCAGTATAAATGCTGAGTGGGAGTCACATTCAGCGTTACTAGTTTTAGCTTCTAGCTTTTAAGTTGAATAGTATATAAGATAAATAGCATCTAAGAATACTGTAATGCTGAATAAATGTCTTTAATATGTCTTTATTATTTTCACAGAATTGTTACTTACATATTGAAACATACTATTTGTCCAGTATGGGACAAGCCTCGGGATAGGATCGACTAAATGTGACGTTGTGTGGCATATTACAAAAGGGTGGGAGTGGCACTAATTTCGTGACGTCACATTTTATATAAAATAATATATCTAGTAATAAAACACCAAATTAAACCTATTAATATATAAAATAGTTGAAATTGCAAAATATATGATGTCTCTCAAATGTGACCAAGTATGATAAGGAAGGAAGAATGTAAAAAAATCACAGAATCTATGTTACGTTTATGGTGGCCCCTATTAAACAGAATTAAACTGTAATACGATTCTATTAATAGTTATCCATTGTCTCTTTAAAGAAAAGCCGCATTATGTATTAGTTTAACTGGCCGTTTAGAAGTGGGTCAGTGTCCCGTAAAAGTTTCCGCGAATGTGGTCCGCCGGCCCATTACCGCAGTCGATCAAAGCCGCCGCAGCTCACCACAAGAACCCTACATTGTATGAGTGCTCTCGGAAAATCATGCGTTTGTTTTTATTATCTAAATCATATCAGCGTATTCACTCTATACGACTATTCCGACGGGAGACCTCGCTGAATGATTCAAAGCGGCGTCAAACGGAGTACCTTGTATAATTTTATTTGCTTTGGATTCATGCACTGAGCCGTCTGGTGCATAATTATTTTGAACGTTTACTCCCCATTAACATCCCACCGGGCTTGGTTGTCGGCTCCGTGCGGAATTTGCAACAGCTTTTCTGTAATCCACCACAAAACATCGGTAGTAATAAAGAGATCATAATTTAACGGCTAATTGGTTTATTTACATCCTGTTTCAACATCTGATTTTATAATATTATGAATAGAACATACATACACATAAACAAGGTGTAGACAGACAAAACTCTATTAAATTATTTTAAATAAGATTTATATTATATAATGTACTTTTCTATAGTACGAAATATTAACTAAACAAATATTAACTTTATTAAATAGTACACTGTTGAAGGTGATGCCGGTTCTTAGATAGTTATATGATTAATTTCGTATTCCAAAAAAAATCTATAAAGTATTGGTGAATATGCATACAATCTAGGCTCCCCGTTCCCCCTACCTGTCAATTTACATAATGGAACATGGCGATGACGGATATTGCTGACCAGCTGTTATTTATTATACGATACCTATACCTATATTCGTTATCTAGCATGTAGGCTGTCATAAAACAGTCTAATATATTACAACGAACTGCTACTGCTAAAATTATACATTAGTTTATATATACATATATGTATATTGATTTTTTTTAAAGTTATTGTTATGTAACATCTGAATCGATATAATAATGAATAATGACAAGGTTATTTGATAAAAAAATACCTTTTCAAACCTTCAAAATTGGCTCTAAATTCCCATAGACTTTAAAATTATTAAGAGTTGAAATTCCTTTTATTTTTTATATAATTTGTATTTAAAATTATAATAAATGATCCGAGGCCTGCGTCCCTAAAGATATTGAATTAGCAAAATTAAGGAGCGTTCTCGAAAGAATCGTAATTTTACCATTTCTTTGTTCAAATTCTGTGGTTAGAATTCTGTAGCCAAAAAGTATAGTATAATTAGGTGTATATATAAAACTCGATAACAATACATAAATATACGAAAAAGTTTATACTATATATATTTGTATTAGGGAGAGTATTCTAAAGAAGACATACTCGTATATAAGGATAAGAAAAAATTATATGCCTCTTCTTCATAATAGCAATAAAATAACGATTCTTAATTCAAGGGTAAATTAAATACACAGTACATTTTTATACACAGTACATCTGGCGAAATATGTAATTATTTTTATAACAACAACTCTAATAATAATAAATAAAGAATTCAACGTTCGAGGAATATAAGCAAAGTTGAAAATTATTTTCAACAGCCGTCGGTTAGTTTAAATTCAGAGTTGCATAAAAACTAAATTTAAAACAATGCGTGGTTTGTTTATAGTACTTATCGTTTTATTTTTATGCGAATAACTTAATTATTTCAATGTAGAAAGTTGTACGCAGTAGAAGGTCGGCGGTCGGCGGTCGCTGCAGCCGAGCCGGGGTCGGACGAAAGTGAAGGTCCTATCCCCCAGCCTCCCCACACCCTCATCGGAGGGGATTCAC